TACTTGTTTATGTAACTGGTTCATGTGATGTAAGATGTAGTTTGATGTTAATGTGACATTTTATTTTGGTATACTTGGTTTTTCCGTTAAGTTCATACAAAGCACAATACTACATGTTAAGTTATGGAGCCTGAATTTCCTTTGACTTCATAGGATAGTTTATGTATTAGTTTTGACATCAAAATCTTAAACTGTAGAGTAGGACCACTGTTGTTGAGTGGTTACGTGGTACCAGAGTAAGGATGTGGTGTCCAACATACCGTAACTACGGTATCTCCACACAACAATTATGGTATCTTGACGGGTAGCTATGGTGCCCGATCAATGTGCCAAAGCCGACGATGTTTTTTAGGCCCAACCCACAAGAAGATTTAGGTCAACTTGTTCATATAAATATATCTCTTTGTATAAATCTAACCCTAAGATCGAAAAGCATGTGTGACGACTATTATTAATTAAATTTGTTTCTATTTTTCTGTGGACGTAGGTCAGTTTCTCTGATCGAGTGAACCACATTTAATTATTATATTTTTTATATTGTCCGAATCTTTAATTATTGTGTGATTGTGTTTATCGACGTGCTTAATCATATTAACGGGTATAAAGATTGATCTAGCAGTCTCATTGTGATAAACCAAATTATACACATATATTAAATGTTGAAGAAATTCAAGATGCTAGACTCCAAAACAATTCATACATATGCAACATGGTTTAAGATGGATCTAAACTTAGTGTCTTAGTTCCAATGTGAAGCTAGATGATTTGAGTCCAATATGCTTCAACTATATGATCAATTATCTATGTTATGTATGAAGCCTAATGTGTCATATGCCTTAAGCATGACAAGTCGATATCATGCCCATTGGATGGCAGTCAAGAGCATTCTCAAGTATATGAGAATAAAAGAAGACATGTTCTTGATATATTGCAATAAAGAAGATATCAGAGTAAATAGTTACACTTGTGCAAGTTTTTCAAACTGAAATACGATTCATGTTTACAATTAGGATTTGTGTTCTTATTGAACGAAGAAATGATGACTCAACGAAATTCTTGTGACTAATTGATTTTTTTTTAACTTATGGTAATGAATTGGTATGTATAATACCTAACCGGAAATTATGATATGATTGATCTTTATATTTATGGTAATTTATTATTTTTATGACCAACCACTTCAATTCTTTTATCATTTTTATTATCATGTGATTTACAAATAACTTTTAAACTCTATAAATTTGATTTTTTTGGATTATATTCAATCATTTTAATTATTATAATTCTTCGACTTCCAATAATTTGGTACATTTAAAATTTATTCCTATATGTTTACCATGAGAATGGAGAGAGACATGTTTGAAATAACAACATAAAATAGACAAAATTAACCACTAAAAGTACGTTGTTATTTGTAAAGAATTCCAAAAGAATATGAGAGGCATCATGTAACACCCCGTTCTTTAAATGTTTAATTATGAGTCCTTGAGATTTAAGAGGAAGGGGTAATTCTAGTCCTTTTACGAGAAATGAGTTTCATCCGAGAAGGTTTCGGGCTCGTATATGTTGTTAGAAGCATTGGGCTTCTCGCCACCTCGTATGGATGTAAGTTATTTGGGAGCGGGTTTAGATTAGAAGAGTTGCGGTGTTTTGAAGATGATTATTATTTATAGTTCTTTGTGGAGTAAGTGGGGAAAAGGTCCCATGCATGCATGTATTTTGAAGTTTGGCTGGGTACGCCCAACGTAATAGGGTGAATGATGCGGGTTGGCCGGGTGAGTACGCCCAGCGTACTAGAGGTACGCCCAACGTACTCTCAGAAACTCCAAACCCTAATTTAGGGTTAGCCACTATATAAGGAACATGTTGGTTCACCCCTTAGCCTCCTTATACTTATCCTCAACCTCAGAAAACCCTAGAAGACCCGTATTCCTCCATTGTTGGGTGTGTTTGACCTTGGAAAACTCTTTTTGGCAAAAGAAAGGCTTGAAGGAGAAAAGAGAAGTTGTCAAAAAAGAAGAAGAACGTGTGGGGCTTGTAGATCTGAAGAGATACCACCCTTTGGAGCTTGTTTGAGGTATAAAGTTTCTTGCTTGACCTTCATATTGCATAGATCTATGTATTTTGAAGCTTTGTCACCATTCTTGTCCTAAAAGTCCTCACCTTGTTGCATATTTCGATTTGGTCAAGATTATCTGTCCTTTCAGACCTTTGAAGAGGTCTTGAGTGATAAGAATGAGGTCCCAAGGGCTGTAGTTGTTCCATGTATGAGGTATATAGGTCTTAATGGATTAAGACCTTGGATTAAGTGCTTAAGGACGTCCCAAGTGATAAAGTCTGAGACTTTATGAATTCTAATCATATTTGACATATGGATCTGAAGTTTGGGCTTAAGAGCTTAAGCCATTAAGAGGTTAAAAGGACTTTATGAGCACTGCAGTTACGCCCCGCGTAGCGGGCCGGTGCCCCATTTTCTTTTGGTGATCATTGCAGTACGCCCAGCGTACCAAGGAGGGTACGCCCAACGTACTCCTCCTGTGGACTTTAATTTTGGGCCTTTTGAGTTTGGGCCATTTGTGGGTTGTTGGTGTTTGGGCCAAGTCTGGAAATTATGAATAGAGTATTTTGGGTACAATTACTGTTATGGACATTGGATCTAGGCCCATTTGGTGAGGTGGGCCCAATTTGGTAAATTGGGCCAATGTTGGACTTTGTGTGAGATTTGGACTTTGGTCTTGGCCCGATAAGTGGAAGTATGTTTGACCTAATGTTTATGCTTGTTATGTTGGTTAGTTTGGGATTTGCAGTGAGTTGGTGGTTTGAGAGTCTGCTTCTTCAGTTCAGAGTATCGACATTCGCGAGGTGAGTTATCCTCACTATATCAATAGTGTCTAAGGCACCAAGGCCGGCCCTTTATTGGATTGAGATTCGGATATGGTTGTTATGTTATTGCTTGATATGTCTGCATCCTGATAGCTAGGATGGTATATGCTAGAGACCTAGTTAAGGTCGATTTCCCGATATGTAGAGTGATGCTATGCTAGTGACCGGTTAGGTCGGTATCCTGGTTAGGGTAATGATATGTTATGTGATCTGTTTGATCGGTTTGTGGATTATGACTGTTATATGATTGTATGTTATGTGCACATGGTTGTTTGGACTGGAGTTGGGTTGAGGTGGGTCCTGCTTTGTGCTGTAGGCCAAGATACCCAGGGCGGACCGGTTGTTCCGAAGGCCCAGCGAGCGGTCCGGATAGGCTGTAGGCCCCACGAGGGCGGACCAGACGTGTCGAGGCTCGGAGAGTGGACCAGGCCGACTAAAGGCCCGATGCGGGCGGACCAGTCATACTGTAGACTCGGAGAGTGAACCAGGTAGGTTGAAGGCCCGGTGCGGGCGGACCAACCACACTGCAGACTCGAAGGACATGACTAGACACGGAGGGTGGACTGAAGGCCGATTCGGCGGACCAATCACACAGTAGACCGATATGCATGGCTGTTCTATGTTTTGTTATGTTATGAATGTTATTTATGTTATGGGCCGGAAGACAATATGTTATGGGCCGGAAGGCAATATGTTTTGGACCGAAAGGTCGTAGTTTGGAAGGGCGTATATGTGGTTGGTATTTTAGGAGTATCTCACTAAGCTTTCGGGCTTACAGTTGTGGTTTAAATGTTTTTTTTCAGGTTCTTCAGGAGACCGTGGCAAGGCGAAGGCGTGATCGTACCGCTCCTCGTGTTTATGTTTATGACATGATTCTGGAAATACTCTGACAATAAATGTGTTGAAAACCTTTTTGTAATAACGTTATTTAAAATGGATTGTTTTTGAAAAGTTTAAATTGTGTTGAAATTTTTGATCGTTACACATCACAAAGAGGGTGTGATAGTTTTAATGACAATCACTCAAAAAAGGATGTCTTACTTAAGAACTTAGCTGGATGTAGAAGGGTAGAGTCAAAAGATTGATCAAGTAGAAGTTCATTTCCATAAAATTTGACATTTCTATTTTGATAACACCATGATTTGAGATTATGTAAGAAAATATCATTTTTGATTGGAAGCATAACCCTTAAGAGTACACATGAGAGATCTATGTTCAAAATTGCCCATTGGAATTTTTGCAGAAATCATAAGCGTCCAATAATTTTGATATAAGTGTATGATATTATAGTTTTGTAAAGATATTGATGACTATATTAAAGTTTAAGCATGATGACAAAAGTCTATTACCAATGAATATAATTATAAGAACTCTATAATCTCAAAATTGTATAGAAAAATGAACATCATGTATGTCGATAGATAGCCTCATGATTAAATGAAAAAATAAAAATGAAGTTGTTGGTTAACAAATTCTTTTTCATGATGAACAAATACTTTGTATTTTGAAAAAAAAAAAAGACTTTAGAGGAAGATTTTTTTAGAAATATAAATGATTATTCTGAAAACTTTAAAAAATATAAACGGTTTTTTGTAAAAATAAATAATAAAGTAAAATAGTACTTTTAGATAAATGGTTTTATATATATATATATAGATACTTTTCCAACAACTTCTATATAATTCATATAATAACATAGACATTGCTTTAAATCATTCAAATTTAATATGATGTACAAACTTCCCTGTCGCTATTTGGCTTTACATTGGAGCTTTAATGCAACAAAGCCTGCGAAACCTAGACGAACTTTAATGCAACAAAGTCTAAAGCAAGATGACTTAAAATAGAGATCATCGCCATTGTCTATTCGTCGTTATCCACATCATTCCCTGTTCATCTTTCCTTTCATAAATTTCTTCAGATCGTTTAATTTTGTCTTACGCCACTCAAACACAAAATCCACATCCAACATTTCCTATTAAAGATTTTCTTATTCAAAAATCGTTTCAATTTTCGTAAGATTTTGAGGTAAACCATTCAAACCCAGATAGAATCAAGGGGTTTTTCAGTTTATTGGGCGAATTAATGATCTTCATGAGGTGGGTTTTTGTTCTTCAATGGGAAATGTAACCTCAAACGTAGCTGCAAAATTTGCCTTTTTCCCACCTTACCCACCAACGTATGATGTTTTCAAAGACGAAGATGATTCAACAAATGGGGAAACAAAGCTTGTTTTTACAGGAATTACATCAGATAGAAACGTTGATGTTCATCTGCTTGATACAAAGGGCGGGAATAAAATTGTTGCTACCTTCTGGAAACACCCTTTTGGGAGGTTCACCCTTTTGTACTCTCATGGCAACGCTGCTGATTTGGGTCAAATGAAAGAGCTCTTTCTTGAGCTTAGAGCTCACCTCAGAGTCAATATTATGAGGTATTTCAAAAATATGTTTCAGTTTTCTAACTTTTCTTCATGTGTCTTTGTTTTTCGATTTTAGGGACGATAATCAAATGACAATTTCTCAAACTTTAATTTCTGTAATGTTTATTGTTATCGAAATAAGTTTCAATTATGTTACTACTGTTTGTTTCTTGGTTTTATTAGGGATGATAATCATGCGTATTTCTGAACATTCCGTTTGATCAAATTCTTATTGTTATAGAAATACGTTTCAATCGTGTTTATATGTGTTTGTTTCTTGGTTTTAGGGATGATAATCAAATGGGTATTTTTTGAAACTTCCATTTCTTAAATGTTTATAGCTGCAAAAATATGTTTCCAACTTTCCATTGTGTTCATATGTGTTTGGTTCTTTGTTTTTGGGATGATGATCAAAATATTGGGGTTTTTACTTTTTAGTTAGTTATGTTTGTTCTTAGGGTTTTTCTTGAACACCTTTATGTTTTATATATGTATGTGTAATCGCTAGTAATAAATGAATATTATTTAATTATATATAACAACATTTTGTGCTAATTTACTCCATCTATATATGCTTATATTGCAGTTATGATTATTCAGGATATGGAGCCTCCACTGGCAAGGTAAGCCAAGATTCAAGATGCTTTTGGTTTTTTCTTCCGTTATGTTACTGTTGAAGGGTATTTTAGACATTTAACCAATAATCATTTTTTTTTTTTTTTGTGTGTGTTTAGCCATCTGAATTCAATACATACTATGACATAGAGGCTGTTTACAATTGTTTAAAAAACAATTATGGAATCAAGCAAGAAGACATGATCTTATATGGACAATCGGTTGGGAGTGGGCCCACATTACACCTGGCGTCCCGCCTACAAAAATTAAGAGGTGTTGTTCTACATAGCGCTATTCTTTCGGGAATACGCGTTCTCTATCCTGTCAAAATGACATTCTGGTTCGATATTTTTAAGGTAATTACCAAATCGCCCTTCAACTATTTGTCCACCAATTCCATTTTGTTCAATCGTTTTTTGTTTTGTTTTTGATACAGAATATTGACAAAGTACAGAAAGTCAACTGCCCGGTTTTGGTCATACATGTAAGTCAACTAACCACATAAATCATATAATAGCCAAAAATGAATCTTTTTTGGTTACGTTTTATGTCGTTTGTTTCATTGTTGATGTTTTGAATGATATATAGGGTACAAAGGATGATATTGTTGATTTTTCACATGGGAAAAGGTTATGGGAACTTGCAAAAGACAAATATGATCCATTGTGGGTCCAAGGTGGAGGCCATTCTAACCTTGAAAGTTTCCCTGAATATATAAAACACATGCGCAAGTTTATAAACACAATGGAGAAACTCTCCTCAAAGCAGAATAAACAACGTGTTTCTTCAGCCCCAAATATCAAACAAGTCAAACACAACAGATGTTTGAGATTTGGGAGAAGATGATGAAATGATCATGGATAATGAAATCTTTCGTATATCTCTTTGATTTGTGTTTTTAAAAAGATCCGTGTGTTTTCGTGTTTATGTTTGTGTATTTGATCACGAGTGTAATTAGATTCTTTATGGATATGTTAGATTTGTTGTTATGGCAATGAAAATTTTAAATTTTGAAAGCAAGATTGGAAATGAATCAAGAATGTGATGTTTTGATAAAATTTAAAACGGGGTGATGTTTTTTTTTTTTTTTTTTTTTTTTAAATGACGACAGATTCAATTCATTTGACAATAGTTGTTTTCTTTAAAATTGTATATCCAATATAAATATTAGATTTTTTTTTATTGCTTTTCCATCCTAAAACATCTGTTCAACTTTATAGAAAAAACCAATCTTCATTCTTACGAGTTATGAATATATTAACGAAAACAATGCAATTTCTGTAAAAAAATAAACTAGAAAAATTTCTAGTGTATAAAGGAGAAACGAAACAAAGAATAAAATAGGTGAAGAAGTTATTGACTTGCATACAAAGTTTTTATTAAAACATAAGTACTTAAATTGAAAATAAAACTAATGACCTTTGACACCTATTTTATACTAGAAGAAATTGAAACCTACTCAAACTTCTAAAACAATAAAATAAAAGATTTTGAATCCTAATCTCAAACTGGGAATTAATAAAAGACAACTTTCCTATACCAAAACCGATTAACCCAACAATCACCCCCTTAATCGGATTTGTCATACGAGCCACTCGTCGTTCAAAACAATGCCGATTCCTCTTCGATTAGACCTGCTTCTTCCTTTTTCCATTGAGGACACTCATTTTTATAGTGACCAAGCTCACTACATTTGTAACATCTAACGTGACTTTTATTCCGGACACGTTCATTACCATCTCGACTTCTCTCGGACCCCCGACCTCTTCCTCGGCCATGTCCAAAGTCATCCCGATTTGAACGTCCATTGCCACAATGCTTACAAACATGTGACTTTTCGTCACTAGCCAACAACAATCCACCTTAAGTGTCCTCCACTTTCTCAGTTCCTCTTATACGCTCCTCGTACGCCTTCAATCTACCAACCGCTTCATCGAATAACATTGAATCCAACTCGAAACATTGCTCTATTGAAGCCACGAAATGACTTAAGCATCGAATCTAGTAACCATTTTACCAAATCACCTTCTTTAAGCTCATATCCAAGACTCCTTACTTTTGATGCTAAACCGGATAATTTCGTCACAAAATCATCAACCGTTTCATCCTCTTTCATGCGTAAACTTTCAAGCTCCCTTTTTAAGGTTGCAAGTTGAGCCGTTCTCACCCGATCCACTCCCAAATACCGTGTTTTTAGCCCATCCCACACTTGCTTTGGGTCGGTGTAACTCGCCATTTGCAACACCATGTCCTCGGGTATCGCTTGAAACAAAAAAGCAAGAGCTTGTTTTGACTTCTTTTGATCTGGTGCTTTATCTGACGTCTTCGGTTCGACCGTCTCCTATATGCCATGTGCATCCATAATTGAGTTGACTTTAACCGCCCACACCGGATAATTCGTTGGAGTCAAAACCGGAACTTGATATGTCAACGAACCTCCTTCTTTAACCAACGACATCCTTTTCTCCTTAACCCCGACTTCTTTAATCAAGCTTGTTCCGAGAGCACTCTTCCACCGGACAACAAGACAAGGTCACGACCACCTTTACCGTCTTCCGTCACCCGCAAAAAGAACCGAATCAAAGCCACCCGCTTTGACGTCTTCCCGTTCGTTTACTCCGCGCCTCCGGTTAGTCTCTTACAAGCCCGATTAAAAGAAACCAGGGTTGCTTCTAATCAACCTCGAATCACACCCCCTTCAACGAAACCGCGCTCTGATACCAAGTGTAAAAAAATAAACTAGAAAAATTTCTAGTGTATAAAGGAGAAACGAAACAAAGAATAAAACAAGTGAAGAAGTTATTGACTTGCAGACAAAGTTTTTATTAAAACGTAAGTACTTAAATTGAAAATAAAACTAATGATCCTTGATGCTTATTTTATACTAGAAGAAATTGAAACCAACTCAAACTTCTAAAACAATAAAATAAAAGACTTTGATTCTTAATCTCAAACTGGGAATTAATAAAAGGTAACTTTCCTATACCAAAACCGATTAACCTAACAATTTCCGCATGAATAAGTAACTTTGAATCGACTTCCAACAACATAAGGTAATTTTTAACGTATGCACCTATTTGAGTCGATATTAGTTATAATTTATCGTGAACTGTTCAGGAGATAAAAACCATTTTATATTAAAAAATTTCAAACTTAACAGAATTCTTGGCATGTTTCTTTGATCTGTCCAATTTATTACCTCTATACGCATAAATTGTGGAATTGCATATTCTTTACAAGAGAAGAGTAATTAATTTGATAACAAAACCAATTCTGTGACCATCATGTGCTAAACGAATTTGAGGTCCGTAAGTGGCATTGATAGAGGGTAAATGGTAAGTCAAGATTGTTGATTTAGGCGACAAGAAATTTTGACTTTATTTATAAATTAAACAAGATTCTCGATGCATGACCTGGATTTGTTCTCCCAACTTGTGCGTCTTAAGTAACTCCCACTAATTGTGTGGCCAATCCCTGCCCACATACCCTTATATATATATATATATATATTATATATATATATATATATATATATATATATATTATATATATATATATAATATATATATATATATATATATATATATATATATATATATATAATAATATACGGTTAGGTTCATGTGAGACGATCTAATTTTGTGAGACCGTGAGACGCATTTTTTTATTTTTTTATTTTTATTAATTTTTTTTAGTTAATTCAAGTTTCGAAAATAATATTTAAAAAAAGAATTTTTTGATTTTTCCATTTATTTTGCATTTTAAAATTATTTTTACAATATGTACAGTGTAATATTCTATTTAGAATATTTCACGGATTTAAAAAAAAAGGATTTTTTTTTTTTATTTTTTAAAATTTTTTTAGTTAATTCAAGTTCCGAAAATAATATTTAAAAAAAGAATTTTTAGATTTTTCCATTTATTTTGCATTTTAAAATTATTTTTTAGAATATGTCAGTGTAATATTCTATTTAGAATATTTCACGTATTTTTCAAAAAAAACGAGATTTTTTTTATTATTTTATTTTTTATTTTTACTTAATTCAAGTTCCGAAAATAATATTTAAAAAAAGAATTTTTGGATTTTTCCATTTATTTTGCATTTTAAAATTATTTTTAGATTTAGTCTCACGGTCTCATAAAATTAGAATGGTCTTAAATGAACTTGAACATATATATATATATATAATATATATATATATATATATATATATATATATATATATATATATATATATATATATATATATATACACACACACACACACACACACTAGTTTATAACCCGTGGGAACCACGGTTATAAAACTAATTAATTTTTTATAGTAAAAACTCAAAATTATTAATTAGTTATTTTAAATAAATTATTAATTTAAAAGATATTTTATTAGTTATGTGAAATTATAATCGTTGATTCAAATAAATATGTAAAATTAATTTTTAATATATATTAGATATTTTTTTTATTTGTGAATTAATGAAAATAATAACATAAAATTCAAATTTAAAATAGAGAATAGATACATTCACAAATAACATCACATTAATGAGGAGGTTTAATACATTTAAAATGGAGAACTAATAAATTGACAAGTGACAAAACATTAATTAAAACGTTTAATATGATGACACATGTCAAAAGATTACTCTTTTATTAGTGTGTGTGTATATATATATATATATATATATATATATATATATATATATAATATAGGGTTAAGTTCAAATGAAAACACTATTTAATATGAGAACGTGAAAACACTACTTTATGCTACTATTCTACTATGAATTTTGTATATACAATGATATGACATTATTCATCAACAAATATACGAACAATTACACATTAATATTCACATTAAAATTTTGTATGTACAACTTTATGATATTCTTCATCACCGAATATATAAACAATCACATATTTAACCTTCACATTAGAATTTACTAAATTACTATACATATATATAT